AACATTCAGACTGCTCTATTAAAAAGTTGACTAGAATGACTGCAGTTTACCTCCAAGGCAATGATTACCCATTAAATAATTTTCAAAACTTTATAATTTTTTTATTGTACCTATTTTTTTAGTCTATTATGTTACTGTTTTAACCCTGATTATATTATTATTCTACTCTTCACACAGTAGTCTGTGAAGAGTATTATAGGTGGTTACAAACTCATTTTTTGGATTCACTTTAAATAACAGCAGAAACTAAATACGTATTTTACATTAAAAATAAGGTAAAAGAATAATTATCTAAAGCCAATTTGATATTACAATAATTTTTAATGCGAATCCTTATCCAAAGTAGAATTTAAAGTATTTTAGTGGATGATGTTAAATAGTGGTTTTTGAAATATTGAGAAATTCTCTCTACAGAGTTAGATTCAAATCTTATATTCAAATAAACAATTCGACCTCTGGGACATCTAATGTCCTTATAGACGAATTGGTAAGGCAGTGTGCGTAAAACAGGAATAGGTGGGTTCGAATCCCTCCGCGGCATGCGAGTTTATTTTAATATCTTGATAAAAGTTTTTTCATTTCGAGGGTTCAAAAATAATATTTAGATTAAACTGGACCTCTCACGAAAGCAAAAATGTTTTAATGATTTTCTAATATAAAATTGTATTTATATGTGTGCCATTGAGAATATTTCGTGTTATTATGTGTCTTGACAATTTTAAAAGCTTTAAATTTGTACAACGATAAGACAGCACTCTAGAGGCGTTTAAGAAAAAAAAGGTGTGAAAGCATATCATTTAAAAACTACTAGATATTTATTAAAACAAAATGCAGCAAATTTTCATAGATGTAATACAGAATGGCGCGGAAATGTTTTTTTTTGACATTTCTTTCAAACATTTTTAAAATAAGTACTTTTCGAAGACCTCTAAAAAATTCAAGGTTTCTCCGCCCTATGTTTGTTGTATTTTGTTGTATTTCCTAAAAATTTCACAAAAATGGGACTAAACATAAAGGCTCAGAATGAATTATAAATTTTCAAAGGGTTCAGTTTGCTCTTAATATTTCGTAGAGATAATTTTTCAAAATTTGTTTTTGTAAGTACCTACTAAGGTATCTACATCTACCAGAAACAGGGAATTTCACCAAGAATCCACTGGACAGGAACAAAATAAACACATTTGTCCAATGTGTAGCAATATCGAGATTTTTTTCACCCTATAACTATTAAGGAATCTGTTTTAAATTTTAGGAATTATGAAGAATTTACATCTTGGAGAGCACAGGAAAAAGGGAAGTTCAATGGTTGTACCAACTTTTACATGTTAAACATGTTTTTCATACATTTATTTTTAGGATTTAGTAGCTCATGTGTCTGAAATATGAAATCTGGGGTCTCCCGCATCCGAGGAATATGAATTCTAGTGAGTCTCAACAAATGGTAATTAGTAGTGTTCATTTAATATTTTTAATATTGTTAATTTTATTAATATTTTTTATTAGAATTAGTTTAAGTAAAATTTCTTCAAACTCATTAGTCTGGTTCACAAGTGCCATTTCCCTCGAAACCTGTCCTCCAGCACTGAAAATTATGATTTTGGGCTCATTCGATTCGGAATGGCATCTAGAACATTCTATCAAAATTCCAAGAGGGGCTAAAAAAAAATGCAAAAGTTATAAACAATAAAGTAAAATAAAAAATAAGGGTTTGGTTTTTTTGAAGTATTTTTAAAAACTATTTGAGATAATCGAAATTTGAAAAAAGATCCTTAAAGAGCAGGAAATTTCCTAAAAAAAAGTCCTACCTCCCGGAACTGTACCAACAACCCTTACAATTTTAATTAAGCGGCGAAAATAACGGTAAAAACGGGTGGTTCGGCTGCCGCGCGCATCGCCCCAATCTGACACATGAACTAAAAAAATTATTTTAACTGATTAAATATTATTATTAAGGAATAAAAAAATTTGGGTACTAAGTAGATATATGAATAAACAATAATCCGTAAACAAAAAATTTTTATCACTATTTTTTTATTAATTACGCTTTTGTTAATTAGTTAATTTTCACCATTTTAATGTAATGTAATGTAACATAAAAACGCTGATTATTTCAAAACAAGAAATCTAGAATTTTTTTTGATTTTTTTGAGCTATTGCTAAAAGGATTTAGAAGAGATCGCCGTTGGAAAAATTTAAAAATTTTGATTTTTCACTTTTTTATTAACAATCAAAGGCATTAAAAAATTATATATATATGTTATATATATTATATAACAATTTGTTATAAACAAATGCAATTTTACGCAATATTTTTTTTTTAAATACTAAAAAATATTACAAAAACAACCATATACCTATATTTTTTTATTGAAAAATTTTTTTTTTATTTTTTATTTAACTTTTAAAAATATTGTACTAAATAATTTTTTAATGCCTTTGATTGTTAATAAAAAAGTGAAAAATCAAAATTTTTAAATTTTTCCAACGGGGATCTCTTCTAAACCCTTTTAACAATAGCTCAACAAAATCAAAAAAAATTTTAGATTTCTTGTTTTGAAATAATCAGCGTTTTTATGTTAACATTAAGATGGTGAAAATTAACTAATTAACAAAAGCATAATTAATAAAAAAATAGTGATAAAAAATTTTTGTTTACGGATTATTGTTTATTCATATGTCTACTTAGTACCCAAATTTTTTTATTCCTTAATATTAATATTTAATCAGTTAAAAATTTTTTAGTTCATGTGTCAGACTGGGGCGATGCGCGCCGCAGCCGAACCACGCGTTTTTACCGTTATTTTCGCCGCTTAATTAAAATTATAAGGGTTGTTGGTACAGTTCAGGGAGGTAGGACTTTTTTTTAGGAAATTTCCTGCTCTTTAAGGATCTTTTTTCAAATTTTGATTATCTCAAATAGTTTTTGAAATATTTCAAAAAAACAAACCCTTATTTTTTATTTTACTTTATTGTTTATAACTTTTGCATTTTTTTTCAGCCCCTCTTGGAATTTTGATAGAATGTTCTAGATGCCATTCCGAATCGAATGAGCCCAATATCATAATTTTCGGTGCTGGAGGACAGGTTTCGAGGGAAATGGCACTTGTGAACCAGACTACATGTCCGACATGTAGATGAGCTAAGAACCAAACGACTGTCAAATGCTGAAAAAAACATTGTAATCAGACAATTAGCTACAGGGGTGATAAACAGAAAATTCAGGATGCTAGAAAAATCCAAAATAATACAATAGAAAAAATAAAGTTGATAACGAAAGAAGACAGCATATTTGATAAGGAAGTATAATATTGTCAAAAAAAGAACTTTGATGATATGACAGCTACTAGTATGAAAATTGAAGAATGGAACAGACAAGGAAAAAACCATTCATTTTTATTCAAAAGAACTGGTAGGTATGTACATAAAAATGCTTTTAAAAATAAACAATTTTTATAGGGTTAAGGTGTAGATGGAGAAGGTTTTTATTTTCAGGTGAAAGTTACCCTGGATTAAAGGATGCAGATTTTGCAGTGGGTTATATGAATGGTGTTATGTAAAAGAGACTTTAAAAGGATTATTTGTATTGATGGAACACATGGAACAAACCAAAGAAATTTGGATCTTACAATACTTCTTATTAAAAATATACATACTTTTTTTACATTTGTATTTAAATGTTTTAAATAAATCTAGTTAACATATATGTTCTATTGTAATCGTTTTTATTTTCCCTCTTATTGGTTTTGTTTACCTATTTAAAAATATACTAATAAAAATAACTTCCATCAGTAATACCTAAGTATCAAAATAGATAATATAATAATTAATAATTCTAAAACTCGATTTTAAGCATTTTTTTGTGAGATCTAGCCCATTGTAAGTTTTTAAATTGTCACACCATATACCTTCAATATTATTAAAAATTAATAAAATCCTTCAATCACTATTATTGCCTGTTTTAATGTTTTAATTTGTTTACATGTTATTTTTGACAGTATGTTTGCTGTACCCCCTAATTATAATAGTAGCCTTCCTAGTAGCGGCAGGCTAGTCTCGCCTGACGTCTATGGCCTACCTATTGTAATAAGTAGGTATTTGCACAAATAAAAACTTTGTATTATTACTTATTTGTTTTATTTTTTATGAATGTTATTTTTATGTTTTTTCAATTTTTTTTTAAATTTTAATCATGTTTAATTTTTTTTTGTCAACTATACCTACTTTTTTTAATATAGGTACCTAATGCTTATAAATAGAGTCATGCCACATTTTACATGTGCAATAATAGGGGATTACTTTAGATGTTAGATGGGGTCCTTGTTCTATAGAGGAATTCTTGTAATGTTTTAATTGTTTATTGTTTTGTATGAAACTATTAACTATCCCAACTATAGGTATATTTATTTTATAAAACCACTGTTTACTTTAACTAAATTGTTTTGTATGGCTCAAACTAAATATGTGCTGGATTGATAAATTTAAAACTAAAGAAATACAAGTTCCTATGTAGTACACATTTTGATAATTTCATCAGTCCAGTCCTGTAGAAACTTTGTTATAATTCTGGTAATGTTTTTGCTTAGATAAATATCTAAGTGTTTTTGATAATCTAAACCTAGGTACACTTTTATCTAAGTGTTTTTGATAATCTAAACCTAGGTACACCTTTCTATAAACAAAATTCTTCGTAAACAGTTCTTGATACAAATTACTAAATATATATCAATCACCATTAAAAAATAGTGCAAATTGTACCACAGATTAATCTCCAAATATATTAATAAAATATTTGAAACTGGCGAGATGAGGATGCTAATCAAATTCCGCAAAGGTAAAACAGCAAAAATGTGATTGTTGCTTTAAGAAATTCTTACCACCTACATTTACACATTAAATAACCCCAAATGTATGCATAGGGTAATTATCGAAAATCTGACACTAATATATACATTTTATTCAAAAATCGAAGTATGTAACAGAACTTTAATAAAGAAACTTACCCAAAAATTAGGTACCTTCAGTACCTATAAAATCCACCAAATTCTTTTCAATAAAAACACAAAAACCAGTATTAAAACAGAACACCAACTGATCACCGATGCCCAATAACTGTTTTAAAAAACACAAAACCGCGAGTCTGTGATAAAAAAAGTCCGTGAATGTCCAACAATTCAACGTTTATTTTGATTTTGATCCAATGTGCCGATTGTTTGATTTCAATTCGTTTGTTGATCTCATGCTCTTGCTCACCCGTGTTTCGGTTTTCGGTTGGAAATGACATGGGTGGGAAGCGGCGTTGCCAGATGGATTTTTAAAAAATTCTAAAGATCGTTGAAGAACATCTGTTCCAATTTTCGCAGTGTGTTTGTAAGCAATTTAGCTCTAGCTTTAATCGCAAAACGCGACATCGATAGAACAAATGGCGAATTTGTCATGTATTACTGTGGATCTTACATTGGGTCCTATGATTGAACGTTTACGTTATCCGTAACGTACATGTTAGACCGAGTTTTAACAGTAACGAGGCAAGTTCGTATGATGGAAACCTGTTAAATTAGAACATAATAAGCGGAAAATAACAGTAATGTATTGGAACACTTTTTCCAACACATTACTGTTATTTCGTATGATGGAAACCTGTTATTTTAGAACATAATAAGCGGAAAATAACAGTAAGGTATTGGAAAAGTTTTCCCAACACATTACTGTTATTTCCCGCCTGTTATGTTCTAATTTAACAGTTTTCCATCACACAAACTTGCCTCGTTACTGCTAAAACTCGGTCTAACATGTACGTTACGGATAAGGTAAACGTTCAATCATAGCACCCATTGGGTCCTATGGCTCTCACCATTTTACATGTCCATTTTCAAAATGGCACAAAAATATTTCGTAATAACTGCTGAAATTTTTTGGTTAATTTATTTTTATATTCAATTGTATATCGATATTACTTTTAGAATCAGGAATAACTTAAAAAAACTGTAAGATAGGTTATAGAATAGAAAAGTCGTATGGTTCTACAATCTCGCTAGATTCCACTATTGGTAGCACGTTTACTGAATATAGATTAATCAACAGTTGAAACATGATTTTAAGCCAAAAGTAACTAAAATAAGTTAACTGAAATAGTTTTTAGCTTTTAGTTTTACTGTTCATCTTACGTAACAATAATAACTAATTATTTCCTGATTTTGCATTCGAAAATAATTTCATAACTTAACTTGAAAGCCCTCACAACTTGACAACGTTGCAAATAAGACATTCGTTCCCCTTCAAACTCTTTCAAAATGCATTGCAGACATGCGCCGATTCTCGTTTACATGTCATCTGCATTGATTTAAAGTGGTATTCAAAAGTTAGGGTAGACGGATTTTCTAAATTTAGAATGTAATTTATTAATGCAAATGCATAAAAATTGTTGTAACTCGATTTAACCGCATTTTGTCGGCAAGGATATAAGGAAAATACCTACCTAATTTAGTTTATTAACTAGATTGAATGTGGGTAGATATTTAATTTACAGGTAATGTTCCTGTGCTGTTAGGTATCTACTACTAAATTTTAAACAAAAATAATGAAAGAACATTATTGTTTCGAGAATTATGACTACCTTACCTTGTTTAAACAAAAATAATGAATGAACATTATTGTTTCCAGAACTGTTTCTTTGAACTCCTTTTTTGAAGAAAAATGGAGAGCAAGAAAACTTTTTAAATATAAATAAAAGCGGGAAACGAAAGTGTTTTCTATGGTTATGCAACATTTATTACGGCTTTGACGTTTCGTTGGTTGCCTATTAGTAGTTATATGAATTTTTTTTATTGTCTTCGACAGACCATTACCCTTGTGTTGTGTAATTTATGGAGTGCTAGTATTCTAATAATATATGGTGTAGGAGTTAGGAGTGATAGACACATCCCCAACTGGGGTGCTATTTTCAAAGTCGAGAGAATTCATTTCTCTCGAGAGAAAGAGAGAAATGTCATACGTCAACGTAAAACAGTATTTTTAGGGTCCTAAGGGCCAGTGTAAACTCACTGATTGTTTCTCACGGTTTATTTAGAGATAATTAATATCCTCCTAAGAATTTTAATCCTCGAGGCCTTTAAAAACAGCGTTTCCACATTGACGTATGACATTTCTGATGAGAATCTTGAGAGAAATGAGTACTCACACGGTTTGAAAATAGGTCCCCTGGTCATTAATAAAAGTCTATTTGATGTGAAGTTAAAGCCCAAATCATTGTAGGTATCTCTAAATCGTAGTGAAGGAACCGATTATGTTGGCATAACATAGCGGACCGCTCATCACCATTCTGCTGTTGTATCAAAAACATCCAGTCCACGGTCGTTATATCAGTTATATCAGTAATTTGCACGCCATAATATTCATAACAAAAATTATTAATTAACTAAGTTGGCGATAGATGGCAGGAAACGCTTGCTTGGTTGTCAGATAATTGCTGCGTTTGAGAATCCACATCGGATGCATCTGAGATGTAGTAAATCTTTGATCACGTGATTCAGTATACGTAAATATAATGGGACAGATGTGTCAGATGTGGATAAAAAAACGCTCGAGATGTAAAAAATGCATCCGATGTGGATTCTCAAACGCAGCATTGTAGATCAAATTATTTTTAGTTTACGGGTTCGCCAACGAGTAGCATATATCTACCTGGTTCTGGGCTTCTATGCTCGAAGGTTCTGGGCCGTATTTAAATAATTTTATGGTCAATGTTTTTATCAAAACTACTGATTTATATTAAATTAATTAAAGTGCACTACCATTTAAATGCTTTTAAGTTCTTTTAATAACGGTTTGCTTTTACCTTTGCAACTTAAATAACCCGTCCACTCTAAAAATGTAAAAAACAATACAAAAAGGGTTAGTTTTCTAGAATTTGTGAGTCAAGGTTTTTTCTTGGGGTAGCTTTTCTGCACAATATAATTTAAAAGTATTGTAGATGGATAATGAACATTTTTTAAATGGGAGATCCACAATAAAAAAGGCTTTAAGCGTGCTTGTACGCAAATCTAGTATGTATTCTTAATAATTACAGTAATAGGAACCCGTAATGATTTTCCAATATTTTAATATCGTGTTCTATCAATAATTTAAGGGATCTAATAATAAATATTTCTAGGGCTCTATTATTATTAGGTATAACACAATGTATCTAGCAAAAAAAACTGATAAAGTTGTGTCCTTTTTTTAAGAAAATAAATACATCGTATGCATATGTTAAATTAAATAAATGAAATTTACTAAAAATTTATACATTCTGAGTACAACTCTGGATACCAGCCTATTCCAACAAAAGATATATGTAATAAAATAAATGTAACGCAAATATTTTGTGAAAATACTACCAAATAAAAATATGTCACGCCCCGGCTGCATATTTACACATCCTCCTATACGATGGCACCAGGGTACTGAAATCTGTTAGCCTTTGTGGCTACAATTACGCTACAAAAGCTCATTGATTTAGGCAATAATGTATGAGGCCTCTCCGAGTGCTGAAATCAGTGAGCAAGCGTGTCTGCATCATATATAAGAATGGCTGTACTTAAACTGCCGTTAAACGGTCGTGTACTAAAATGCCATTAATAGACATGATGTCATTCAAATGACGCATTTGAAGTGTTTTGGGATTAAAAAAAAAAGAAATATACAAGAAGAAAACGAAGCAACGACTTCTCGTAGGGTGGCGGCTTCGCCGCCACCAAAAAATAAAGTCTCAAATAACATACAAATTGTATGGGTGCCCAAATCAATGAGCTTCTGTAGTGCAATAGTAGGCCGCAAAGGCTAACACATTTCAGCACCCTGGTGCCGTCGTATAGGAGAATGTGTGAATATGCGCCTCGGCTACCGAGGATTTTTTAACAGCGGTGCCAGACTTACTGATTTTTTTAGATGTAATTAAAGCCGAAACCTACAGATTCACTTGTCTATCGACAATTTCGTTTAGTACAATTTAATAAATAATAACTACAATATTATCAATGTGTAGCTGAACTATTTTAATGGTCGAATATAACAGAATGAAGCTTCAGTAATTTTCAAATTGCCGATTATGCCATTATTAATGGAATTTATTCATTTTCATTATCGTATTCGCTCCGTGCGAAGTCATGGAAAGGGAAGCAAAAGCGATACTAGCGCTAGCTGAGGATAATTCGTGCATTTTAGGGCGATATTTTGTAATTTTGGCATATCAAATACACGTACACATTTTCCTTTTTTCCAAAAAGTAGGTAAAAACAATACAATAAGCAACCGCAGTTGCTGTGTTGAAAATTGTACAAATACTAGCAAAAAAACAGTGAAACTTATATAAAAAAATTTAGTAGCAAAGTGGAAATTAAATCAAAGAAATAAATAGATAGGTGTACAATAAGAAGAAAAATTACCTTTATTTTTGTAATAATAACAGTAATGCTGGAAATAGTAGACATCAGAAACTTGAAAGGTTTTAAATAAACAATAAGTTATCATTTTACGATGTTCTTTAATATCCCTTTATTCTTAAATGTTCATTTAGCAAGGACTAGATTTCAAGATTTCTGCCTTTGATTATTATATGTGGCTGGAATGCAATTTTGAGACTTACTGATGGGAAACCAGTTTTAATCATTCATTCTATGTTTTCTTTCGAACAAATATGAAAATCCTTTTTTTATACATTTTAACTTCACGCTAAAATGGTATTTTTTTATTTTGACAGAATAGCATAATTCTTCAATGACAACTTATTAGACTTATTATACATTTTCCAGTAAATACTGTTGTCTGCCTATATTTTATTATTGATTTTTATTGATTATACATAATTTTCTTTAATTTAAACGATAAAAATATATAATAATAAATTAATGTTTTACAAATCCATATACTTTTATTAAAACTAACATATATACTTTTTAATTACGAATTCTATTAAAAATTGTATTTGTCAGTATTCAGATTTCATTTACGCCGTGTCAAAACAATCTCTCCCATCCAGCACCAGCTCACGTGGCATTTTTTTTGCGCTTCTATAGGTTAATCGGTCATTAGTCATTTAGACAAATATTTTTTTGTCAGAGTCGAATTCAGTTCAATTTGGATAATTATAAACGGCGTTTTGGTAGCATTCACCGTGTTGGTTAGTTTGGACATTTTCTATGTTTGATTGATTATAATTCATTATATTATAGTTTAGATATACATATATTGTGTTATTTA